ATAAAATAAATTAAATAAATAAAATATAATATAAGTATGAATCTGTAAAAATAGCTAATTAATGGTTGTTACTACATAGTAAGAATAAGAAGACATTGTTGATATGTTCTTAAAGCAGGCTTGTCTTGCTCCATTAGGCTCTTTTCAAACAAATATTTGATGCATAAAGTCTGTCTTATTAAAATAGTTTAAATTGTTTTACTATTGTCATATTTAATAGTGGTTTATCAAGATATTTATATTCAAGTACACAAATACTTGAGGTCCTAAAACACCTACATGTTCTATTATTCAATACTGTATATTGTAGAACTCTTTTCATATATAGATTTTTCCAAAGAGTTAATGAACAAACCAAGTTATAAAGGTTGTGTTCTGTGCTGAAAACAGTTGTATTCGTGTCCAAGTTTAAACCACAGCATTAGCGAAAGGTTGAAGTCGTGATATTTCCTTACAAATAAGTGTCAACCAGAAAATCTACTTTGATTCCTCTTTCATTTTCATGACAATAAGATACTAACTACCAAGGAATTCCAAGTCATTACTTCGAACTAAATTGAGTTCTGATTATTAACCGTACAGCACAAATTGAAATAGTACAATAGTTAAAATTTTCTTATCATGAAATACACATAGATAAAACCGATGAATTTAACTCTTCACAAATAAGGAAAATGAAAGAGGACGAGCAAGTTTACCAATCATCATTTTGGCTGGGGTTGATGTATGAATAAATAAACGGAAACTGGATGTATTTTTAGGACGTAGTCCTTGCTCATTATGCAAATAAGGGCCCTTAAGTGTTCTAGATCAAGACCTGACCATATAAGGTTAGCATTTTGTAATCTGGACCAATCACAGGAGACTACTCACAGTTTAGAGCATAAAATACTCATGACCTATTCGGCACTGCCCACTGTTCGCTGTAGGACCAAGGAAAAAAGATCAAGAGTTATCAATCCTGACTTCTTCACTTTAGTTCCAATAGTTGGTAAAATGTGTGAGATCGAAGGAAGAGCAGGGAAAATCAGTGATGAGTTACGAGCAGAGTATCGAGAGGCCTTCGACTCGGTAAGTATTATTAAACAGCCGAGATAGTATTGTGTACAATATGTTTTGTATAAAATCTTTGTTGACCAGAAAGCGTTCTCCCGTACGTAAGAAAACATGTCTTTTTTTAAAATACGAACTATATTCCTACCCCAGTGAAACTCATTCCAAATACTCGCTTTTACGCCAGTTCCAAGCATCGAAAGTCTTAAGTGCGCTGTTAGTGTACTTGATTCAGTTTTGGCTTTGAAGTTATTAACTTTGGTGTATTTGGTTTTAAAGATTGATGTGAATAGAAATGGTGTTATCGATAAGGACGAAATAGGACAACTGCTGGAGGCTATACAGGTTAAGATACCTGGCTACAAGTTACGGTCTTTGAAAGACGAATACGGCGATACTGTAGACTTTGAGGAGTTTATAGAGGTAATTTATTAACCAATTCATTCATCCCTTTAATCACTTTATAGAAAATTATTTCATTCCGTTTGATACCTTCCCATAGCTTAATATTCTTGGATGAACTTCATATTACACTAGACATAAGAAATAGCGTGTGAAAAATGTTTCTAAGGACAAGTGACATGTTTATCCATGTACGAACGAAAGCAAGGATGTTTCAGTTCTTACAATAATTACGATACTGCTTGACATCATTTCATTTTTTCTCTCGCACAAGTCCATCACGCTAAGCATGACATGAGTAGATCCATTTCACTAGTGGAACTCCCTTGTCAGTTTTAACAGTGTACAGTAGGGGTCATACTTCAAACCATAAACTGTAAACAATTCCTTAGTTAATGCCGGTATTTACGTATCGAGAGGAAAGTATTTTCTCGCCATGTAAACCCAAATGAGTGATTTTACATAGGTTAAAAGTGTAAAGAGGGGTAATGACTCACTAATAGCCATGTGTTGAGGTTCCCCTCCTCGTCGTCAAATGTTAGGTATTGACATGGTAAATCCACAAGATACAACACATCCAGTCATGCTTATTATTGTATTCCAGTTGATGATGAATGCCAATTGTTCAAATCTAAAATTGCTTATGTCTGGGCATAGTACCAATGTCGTTACCGGTAATTGTTTCCACTAACATCAAATGCATCTGTTTTCTTAATTTCATTGTCACTATTTTGTAGTTTAGTTATTCATGTTCACTTTATTTGAAATTTTGAAAATGTGTTTGAATTATATAGACAAGAAATGAACTTTATTTCATGACCATGTCTATCATAATTATTTTTGATTATTATTCTATATTGATGTTTGAATCATGTTGGTTAATTGCCCTATTTCACTATGACGTCACTGCTGTTCATGTGGGGGATAGAATCGCCAAATCCAATAGAAAATTCAACACAATTTGCTCCTAGCGAAACAGTTTAATCTATAATGGCCTGGTTTTCAGATATGATATGATTGTGTTAATATGTACTAAAAAATGTTCTGAGCGTTTGCTGGCTATTCTACTTCTCTTCATAGATTCATACGGGTTTTTAGAACAATTTTCGGTGCATTTGCGTTAATTTGACCCCCACCAACGACCATGATCCTTTGTGTTTAAACAATAGATTGTTTTGATGTGACGTCATAGTGAAATAGGGCAATTGATCTGAAATAATATAAAAAATCATATTCTAATCTTATTGACTGTTTCAAGCAACTAACACATTTATCTATTTCATTTAATGTCTTTATTGTGTTAAATTGTATTGTGACTTAATTAAAACTCATGGCTGATAGAATGTTCAATTGTCAACCTCAATATATAAAATGTTCAATTTACAATTGCAATATGTCTTTCCTGTAGATTGTGTTAACACACTCGGACACCCATACTGGATCTCAGTTCCTTGATATGCTTACAAAGAAGAATGTAGAACACATTGGTGGTATATCTGAAGGGTCTGCAGAAGGAACAACCCATTCATTCTCTGAAGCTGAAACAGCTGCATTTGCTGACTGGATTAACAGTCAGTTGGCTGAGGATGCAGAACTGAAGGATGGTGGCTACATTCCCATTGATTCATCAAATAATTACAAGGAATTATTTCAAAAAGTCAGAGATGGAGTTCTGTTGTGGTGAGTTGTTGCATCACCACAAAGACTTTTGCAGCTTGTAGGAAAGTTATTTGTGCAATTTCAAAGCATTGTTAATAGGCACATTTTTTTGAAAGCGGTATGATTTAAAAAGAAATGTATGATCATATGGCAAGACTTGCTACACAACCATACATTTCTTTGTAATTTATAGTGCTCACAAAAAAATTTTACTCCCAAATTATTGAACATATTACTCTCAAATTTTCAGTAGTTACTAAATAAGACATTCTCTTTTGATTTCTGGAGTTGGTTTGCTTGTAGCTTGAAATTTTTTTATGCTAATGAGGAGAGAACGTAAACAAAGATCGGCCTATAAGGTTAAAATAGGATTAAATGTTAAAGCTTTATGATTTAACAGATCAAAAACAGTTTTTGATTTGTTTTATAAAATAACAAACGCGCGAAAAGATCGAAAAAAAGCAAAGTCTAAGTAAATTCTCCCTACGTGCCGTCTTATTCAAACTGACCAATGAGCGCGCTCGATAGATTAAAAATGATGATAGCGTGTTTTGATACTCTCATCAAACATGGTTTTCGACCAATCATAGCGCGCGTAGTATCCCAATTATTTTATAATATTGACTCAGTGAAGCTGATACTATGAATGCCATTGTCTGGAATAACAGCGCATGCATGGCTTTATTTATTTATTTATTTGTTTATATTATGAACATCTCAGTAATCCATTGTGAGTATGTATGTTTCATACATTTGCTGTGGGTGTACACGGCTCTCATTTAGCTACTTGTATTTGTTATATGGTGGCTGTGTGGGAGTAATGTGCATTCGTGGTGGATGTGTGTGGTATTTATGTTCTACGTATCGATTTCACACCTTTACATTTTCACTATGAATAAATTATTTATTTACATAATATTTATATGCCTTAGGTATCTAACTATATCAATAGTAGCATAATAATAATTTTGTATTCATATATTTTTATATTAGATTTTATATCAGCTCGAATGTATTTATAACGAGTCTTTGGCTCACTGTACATATCAATGTTAAATTATCTATCTAATATCCAACTAATATTCAGTAAGTGGTATTTGTGGTTTAACCTTGATGCACCATTGATAACTGTTGTGTCTAATAGGTTGGCATCATCTGCTGAATAAAGTTAACAATAAATTGAGTAAATGATTTTAACTGTTGGAATATTTGACTTGAATCCTGCAGCAAGATGATAAATGCAACTGTTGCAAACACTATTGATGAGCGTGCTGTGAACAAGAAGAACCTGAAAGTGTTTACAATCCATGAGAATCAGACACTGGTCATTAACTCAGCAGCATCTATTGGATGTCATATTACAAACATTGGACCTGAAGACTTAGCTAATGGCAAGGTGCATTTGGTGCTTGGGCTCTTATGGCAGGTCATTAGGGTAAGCAAAAACTCTCTCTAGGAGTAGCTATAATATAATTAAGGATGTTCACATGCAAATAAGTGGAAGTCAAATTTGTTTTAAAATTGGCATTTAAACATTCCCAACATATTCTCCATAAAATAAAGAAATTAAAAAATAGTTTTTTGTTAAACACTAGGCAAGTATGGTATTCATCAAAGAAAAATGAGAAATGCATCAAATATGACTCTTGACAATTATTCTGTGTAGAATTCAAATCGTTTTTCTCTCTCATGAATAATTTGGTGTCGATCATCTCAATCACAATTCTTTAAAAATCAAATATGTTATAGATATTGGATTAAGTATTGAATGTGCCAAATATGAACAACATCCATTGAACATACACATTGAATATATCACTGGAAATTTTTAAATATTTTTCTATCAATATGGGTTTAATGTTTGAATGATATAATCTACTTTTTAGATTGGTCTCTTCTCAAAAATCACTTTACCAAATGTTCCTGGTTTGCAAAGACTTCTTCTTGAAGGAGAAGATATCAGTGATTTACATAAACTGAGCCCAGAAGAACTGTTGTTGCGCTGGGTTAACTACCAACTGGAGGCTGCTGGATGTGAAAGACGCATTACCAATTTTAGCGAGGATATCTCTGTAAGTTATTATTTCATTATTTATAAATTCAACTTTCAAAAAATAACAAAAAGAAACTAAAGATTAAAAGTGTACATTGATTGCTTTTTCAGGACTCTGTTGTGTACAGCTATCTTCTCAGCCAAATTGCACCACCCGGATCAGGAGTGGATAAGCCTAACACATACAACTCTGTAAGTAATAATGATGATCAAGGGCCAGGGGGGATAGGTCTAACACATACAACTCTGTAAGTAATAATGATAATCANACAACTCTGTAAGTAATAATGATAATCAAGGGCCAGGGGGGATAGGCCTAACACATACAACTCTGTAAGTAATAATGATGATCAAGGGCCAGGGGAAAAAATAGGCCTAACACATACAACTCTGTGAGTAATAATGATGATCAAGGGCCAGGGGGGGATAGGTCTAACACATACAACTCTGTAAGTAATAATGATGATCAAGGGCCAGGGGGGGATAGGTCTAACACATACAACTCTGTGAGTAATAATGATGATCAAGGGCCAGGGGGG